TCATCAGCAAAGGCTCTTAACTTATATTCTTTTTTAACTCTTATTCCCAAAATGTTGTCATCTTGTCTAATATCTCTAAGTAATACTTCTAGAACCAATATAAATAATAATGGAGACAAGGGGCATCCTTGTCTCGCCAAGTACAACTGTACTATTGTTTTCACTAAAGCACGGCACCTCTTAAGGATTCTTATGAGATTCTTGTTTCATCAGTGCATGCTTCAATTCTATGTATTGCCAAGCAGATGTTACGGGCAAATCATGTTCAAGGTATAATCTCTCAAAACTTTTAAACAACCATTATAAATCAACTGATTCATGGTGTTCATCCCTTGTTTGGGATAACAGACTTTCCAACAAAACCTCTTTCTGCTTGCTATCTCCAGATTTGGATTGTTCCACATTATTGATTTATCTTGTGATTCTGATCCAAACATAACCACTTACCCATTACTAACCAATATGTAAAGCAGCTTTCGAAGCTAGAACACTACATCCCTATTTACTGCATCTTAGCCCCTAAAACTTGTCAAGATTTTTTGGGGGTCACACACTTACTCTCTAAATGGGCCTAAAGAGAGCAATAGTAAAAAAACAAAGATCTCTGAGAGAGACTTGTGGATCCATTCGTGCTTTTGAGGGATATAAAACTGGTGGTGGTGGTAGGACAAGAGTGTCCAAATATAGTGGTCCTTTATCTTTAGTCCCACCAATGACCATCCAAGAAGCTGGACCACATGAAACAAAAAACCCATGTATTTCCAAGAATCACAAATGAGTGTTGATAGGCACACTTTTATATGTACATATATATCAGTTACACTAACTTTTAAAGATAGAAACAAATGGAACAATACGTTGGCAAAATTCCTATTGCTTCAAAATAATGTACAAAACTTCATAAAGGTGAAGCAGAATTTACCACATCCTCTAAACATAAATCAAGAAATACTTCCAAATATTTATTTATTTATTTATTTGACGATTGTACAAATAACAGGAGGGAAACAGCACAAAACATGCCTTTCTTTTGATGCTGTAGTGGCAGAAGGAATAACCTTGAAGAACAAGAGGAAGAGCCATAACCAAGAAAATCATCAGATAAAAGAAATCTGAGTCCAGGCCAGAACTGTAACCTGAGTAAGCCTCTCAGAAAATACCCTCCCTAGTTCTCTCAAAAATAAAGGAATGGAGGGGGAAAACACATTCAGACTTGCAACATTCTTTTACTATAACCTTATAATAAAAGTAGTATTAGCATGCATGTCTTTGGTTTCCTAGTTGTATACCCTGAACCAAGCTAATGCTATGTTTAACCATCACACAAACTTTAGTAAGAGGCACAGCATGGCACACTGCCTTAGCCCAAATCGCTCAGAGACTGCTCCAGTCCAGTACTGCTTGATCTGCCAGGGCAGTCGATGCCATTTGCCTCAGTGCCCATAGTGGGAGTCTGGCACCTCTCTCCATGTGTAAATGGCCAGTGCTAATAAACAAGAATATTATTTACCCTTTTTTTCCTTTGAAAAGGAATTGAGAACATCAAACAAGAAGGAAGTGTACAAAGATAGAACCAAATGTGAGAATTACAACTTATGATGAGCACCATCCTAAATACCAGGAATTATGGAGTAAAAAAGATGGGATCATGGTGTGAGAAAAAAGAGGTATAAAAATATGTTCTAAAAATGGTTGAAACTGATAGGCCATGCTTCTGACTTGAGATGTGGGGGTCTTATTATTTCATGCACTGACATAGCATACTGTATGTGATCCTAAATATATATTTTGTAACATTTGCAGAGTCAGTCTTCCCAACCTCCAAACCCAAAACAGTCTTCATTGGTCCTTCATAGTTCCATTACTCTTTTTCCTTACAAAATGTTTTTAATAATATATGCAGATGTTTGAAACCTTTTAAAAGAAAGAGAAAAAACACCAGAACTTTGTTGACACTCTGTGGTTTATCGGAGGCCTCGTCGCCTCTCACTGTATTAAGTGCTGATGGCATTAGGAAGAAGATTGTTCACCAAGGAATTCTCCGACCCAACCAATCCACAAAGGTCCCGTTGTCCTCTTCAGAAAGCATGGACAGCACAGTCATCATACCTTGCGTGCTCTCTTCCACAGTGATTTCTGGCTGCCGCAAAAAAGGACCACATAAGGTTTAAAGAATCAATCGTGCCCAGCCCAGAATCCTCACCAAAGCAGATCAGCAGAATGCAGTCTGACCTCGTCACCGTGAATACTCATCCCTAACATTAGAGGTGAATTTGTATGACATTTAAACTGGCCAATCACATTTTTGTTTATAAAGGAATATGATCACGGCCCTTGTGATCAGGTGATGGTCCAATGTATCATGTAAAACCAGCTCTTCATAATTCCTCTCCAGATGAGGAGAGGACTTGAGATCACCCCCAAGTGCTCCAGATAGTTGCTCCTCATGAGGAGACCGCAAGACAGCGGTCTTTGCTGGGCTTAGAGCTCTGGGAGATGAGGAAATAGCCATTTTGCTCAAACCATGGTCGGCACCTTTAAAAGAACACAGGTTAGCATACTTCCTTTTCTAATCACTTGCAGAAATTGCTTGTTAACTGCTTTTCAGCTATCAGGAACCTTTGGATCAACAGGTTTTATAGTACCAGGTGAGTTATAAAGACTTAAAAGTTTAAGGACTTAAAAAAATTTTTTTGAATAAACAGCAAAAGGGTAATTAAAACTTTTAGAAAGTTACAAATGGATTAAGGGTCTAGATAAAATAAGATTTTAGAATTAATTACAAGAATCCTTCCCATGGAAAAATGTTTTTGCTTTGAATTCTTTTTAAAAAAACATAATACGATGGGACTTTGAAGATTGGACACTAGAGGGAACTAGAAGGAACTAAAGACTTACATATGGGTTGCGACGTA